TGCGCACGCGTATGTGCACAGCGCAGAGCCGGGCGGCTCCATCCCGCGGCCGCCCACCCAGGCACCCTTCCCGGGACCCAACCCAGCACAGGGGGCCCTCGGGGACCGCTGGGCACCCGCCACCCCTGTCCCCCCTCAGCCGGCAGCGCAGGGTGGTGGGTGCCCCTGCTGCAGCCCGTGCTCCCTCCTCCCCGTCTCTCACCAGGGAAGTGCCGGCCGGTGTCTGGGCGCAGCCAGGATGCTCACAGCGCCTGTGCTGCTCGAGGAGCAGGGGCAGACGGGCTCTGCTCCCCCAGCCCTGCCGCCGGCCCTGTCCCCAGCTGTCCTCCGCCGGCCCCAGGTCACTGCCTCACTCACCTGGCAGGGCAGAGCCAGGGGCTGCTGCCAGCGCATCCTCTCCTCTCCTTGTCCTTTCCTGTCCCCTTCCCTCCATCTTAGCCAGCGCCGTGCAGAGCCCCTCACCCTGACATCCCTCCTCCGTCGCCCTCCCCTCTCCCCAGCCCCACGGATGGGATCCTTCCCCTCTGCCCTTTTATACTGTCTTTGTTCATATGACAAGCACGTGAAAAACCAGAGCAGAGCTCGGAAAAAAGCTCCTTAAGACGCTTTAATTCAGTTTCCTGGATCCCATGACTGAGCTCGGCCTGTGAACAGGGTCTCATGACTGTGGCACGCAGGCCCCGGCCATCAAAAGCCTCATTTATGCCCCAAAAGAGACTTAAACCCCTCTTGGCCGGTCACCTGGTGAGCCTGATGTCCCCCATGCCCAACCTTGGCCGCAGCCCCGTCCACGCCGGCATCGCGCCTCTGCCGAGGGCTCATCGCAGCGGGTGTCCCGTCCTTTCCCCTACGGGATCCCTGAGACGTCCAGTGCGTCGACCCCTTTCACAGCCATTGCACGCAGGCGCACGCAGACGCCCCCCGGCCCAGCCATGTGCCTGTGACCCTGCGGCCATGGGAGCAGGAGCCGCCTGTGCCCCGGCTCTTCTGGCTGGGGACTTCAAAACGACCCAGGGGGACACCTGCCCTGTCCCCTCTGCTGTGCCTGCGGGAGGGACTCTGGGGACACTCTGAGGCCTGACTCTGCCCTTCCCCTCCTCCACGCCCTGCTGAGACCGCGTTTTCGGCAGAATCCCGCTCCAGGCACCAAACCCTGCCCAGGTCCAGCCCCAACCCAGCCCCTTTCCTTCCTAGTCCCCTCCTGGTGCTGCCAAACCATGGCACCAGCGGTGGGGACGGAAGTGCCGTCCCGGTGGCTCACCGCCCAGTTTGGCCCCACTGGTGGGGGACGCTGCGCCCAGGACCCCCAGGGCAGGTCTGGCTCATGCCTTTTGGGGACCCTGCAGCTCACGTACGGATTAGTGCTTCTCCCTCCCTCCTCGCTCCAGCTGCTCGTTCCCCGGGGCAGGACAGAGCCTGAGCCCCTCGGGCCAGGAGCAGTGAAGGATCCAGACCCAAAAAGCCCCGATCCCTAATGACGACAGATCACAGCCAAGGCTCCCCATCACGGAGGCGGCAGCCAGCGATGTCATGCTCACCGGGATCCCGTATACCTGGGCTGGGTCTAAATTTTGGGGATCAGGCTGAACTTTTCTGTCCTTTTGCCTTTTTTTTTTTTTTTTTTTAAAACTGAGACACAGTAAATACAAACTCGAGCCACCCCAACATCCCCCGGAACCCAACCACCGGCCCCGAGACGTCCTGCGGCCGTGCAGAGCCGCTCTAAAGCGTCCGCAGCTCAACAGGAAACGGGCAGCAGTAAGAGGATAAAAATACCCTTGGTGCAAACAAAACGACTCTGTGTCAGGATCAGGGCGCCGTGGGCTGCTCCAGCCCCCGCTAATCAGGGCCGGGGCCGGAGGGGAGCCGGGCTGGGCGACCGTGGTGGCTTTGGCTTCCAGCGCACGTGTGAGCTAAAGGCTCTAAAATCACCCGGCAGCTGCGTGCGGTGAGCCGGGGAAGGGAGGGGAGGGCTGGGGGGATGCTCAGGGAGAAGCCAGACATCCCGGCTCCTGGACCCCAAACCCCCCCTGGAAAAGGGGGGAGACCACCCAGACTCGCAGCATCCAAATCCTCTTCTAGCTCCTGCAGAGCCCCAGCGCCAAGGAAGGGTCCCCCCTCCTCCACTGGAGCACCCTGCCTCGGTCCCGGGGGGAAGGCGAGGGATGTGTGGGGAGCAGGGCATCCCGCGCCCCCCGCCTCGGGCCCCCCATGGCTCCCAGCCCCAAACAATAAGTGCATTTGAGTGCTCGGAGCGTGGGGCTGCAGCGAGGGCCCAC